TTATTTTATATATTAAAAAATACAACTAATTAACTATTAATAGAATTTATTTAAAATATATATTGCACTGATGATGACTTTACGTCGAAATAGATCTATATGCATAACTTTAATAATAATATAAAAAATAAACGATTATAAAAATGGGATCTTGCTTGATTAATTTTAACAATTAAAATCATAAACGATTATAAAATGGATTTCAACATTTTGAATAGACTTAATTGTAAAGAACTAGTTCAAAATATTAGAAAATCAACCATAAAACTTGTTAATGCTGAATCGTCGGTGGATTTTTTGAACAACTATATATATATATATATATATATATATATATATATATATATATATATATATGTTGGTAATAGACCATAATTTTTTCAATATTCTATAAATTCTACCGTATGTTTGGCGTTAATATGTTTGTAGTTCGTTTTTTCGATTTTTCTCACTAAAGTTTTTTGGTGAACGTTTAGTTTATTAAAATTCAAAATAAACTTATTTTTCGAATTCATGCTGCAAATAAGGCCATATTTCGATTCCGAATGGATCATCATCAGTGCTTTCTGCTGTTTATATAGGGAAATACTGACTTTGTCAAAATGAATTTAGATGGAGATTGACTTTGTCAAAGTGAATTCAGATGGAAATTAGGTGTCAGGTTTTTTTATTAGGTTGTCATCTTCTTTTGTCTCCTTTTCTTCATCGATAGCATCATATTCTTCTTTATCACTATTTACAATGCTAGTTTTTATTACTTCTTTGTTTTCGTTGTTGGTTAAGCGCCGGGTTGACAACCTCACTTCCAACTATATTATAATATTGTAAATGTTGTCAGGTAGAGAAAGAAAGGCTAAATTATTTGAAAGTGAGAAGTGATTGAGAGTGAATTTTTTATATTATTAATTTATTGGTAATTTTATATGCCTCCATGTTGACTGTGTGAACCGAACCTATTGGCATTACTACAACGACGCATTCACTCAGTTTAACAATGTATATATGTATATATATATATATATATCATTATTATTCGATATATATATACATATATCGTTAATTATAGTTACCCATTTTTCGTTAAATAATTTTTTCATGAGTAACCCAACACGTCGAAGTTGATCTAATTCATACGTACTAATAATTTGTGTCATAATTAGACTAACAACGTTGTTTTGGCTGAATTGCCATCTTCAGAGCTTAGAGTAAACAAGATTATAAGTTTGTTTAAAATCGAGGATAGCAATAATAAAATAAGCATGAATCTAATAAACTATATTATAAACATAAAATTATAAAAATAATTTGAATGAGCAAATTAAAGCCAGTATTACCTTGTATTAATGATAAAATAACGAGACGTTAAATAACATTTTAATAAAATGCAATAAGATAATTAAAGAATTAAAATTAAAGTATAATAAAATTTCGAAAGCAAACAAACAATAAATAAAATTAAATTGTGAAATAAAGTTATTGAAAGTTGATATTGTTATTACAAGTGAGCAAATGAAATAATACGATTTTTGTTGTGATAAGATGGTATTTGCTTGAATTTTTAGATGTATGAATGTATGATAATGTTTTGGTTAAAAAAGCAACAATCATGACTTTTGTTACTGCTGAAGTATTTATTTTAGAAAGAATTATTTTTTAAATAACGAATTATTTTAAACTTTTCTTTTTAATTTAATACTTGAAATTAAAATTTATTAAGCTTATTCTATTGTCCTTCAGCACTCGGTCGTAAACAAAATTTTTAGCGATTAAGAAATCAAATTTTTTAATAATGTTTTGTTTTAAATTTTGATTACAGATCAACTAAAAATAAAAAAAATTATTTTTAATAAATAGAAGTAAGTTTTTGTCGAAGAAAGATTAGTCAACAAACTCTCGATCAAACACTAAAGTCAAGTAAGTAATTCACTAATTATCGCTAAACAAGTGGACGTGAACATTATCACATCGACAACAAGCAAAAAAAATAAAAGAAATTTTCTGCTCACTTTGGTAAAATAGAATTCTTATTCCAAGAATATTGGCCAAGTCTTGGTCAAGGTAACCATTCGGAAGCCTCCAAGAAACTACATGAGTGGTGTAGCAAAATTTCACAAGGCGTGATAGAACTATCACAAAGCGTTGAAAAACTATCACAGCGTGTTATTGAACTGGTAGCTGAGAAGAAAGAACTGAAGGAGGAAATAGAACTATTAGAAACGACGAAATGGAGACGAAGAGGAAGAAATAATAAACCAAAAAATAGAAGAAAAAAAATGTGGAATAAGATAGTCAATAAAAAGATTGAGGATGAAATGAAAACACAAAATGAAAATATCAAAAAAGTAGAAAAAAAGATGAAAATTATTAAAAAAGAAGAAAAGCAGAAAAAATTATAAAAGAACAGTGATAATTCATCAACTGATTGAATCTCCTACAACAGAAGGGGAAAAAGGACCAGTGAAAATAAAAAAAACTATTCTGGCACTGATAAACAAAGTGTTGTAATGAAGACAAGGATATCAAACAAATATTTAGACTAGGTAGAGCTACGAACATCGAGAGATCATTACTAATCGAGTTTCGGGAAAGAAAAACAAAAAATGTGGTACTGGAAAATTTGTCTTATCTTCGACAAGCTAATTTCAGATGGGAATGGCTGGAATTAGAGTAGATTGTTTTGGTGTTGTTGTCAATCAATCAATCAATCAATCAATTAGCTTATAAATCGCTATTTCCGCGATGTTCAACAGCGCTCTTCAATGAATTTTGAAAACAGATGGGTCTTGAGATCCGCTCTGAACTTCGCAAGTGATGGAGAAGTAGTCAGAGAAGTAAGTAGAGAGTTCCAGAGAAAAGGACCAGAAAAGCAAAAGCAGATTTGGCAAAAGAGTGTTTAACACGAGTTAAGAAAAAGCGAGAAGAAGAAGACGATCGTAAATCGGGGCGTTTAGGTTCAATTAATATATCTGATAAATACTTAGGAAATAATTTAGATTGAGACATAGTAGAGCGAGTTACAATAATCAATCCTAGATAAGACTAACGAAGTAACAAAAGGAGAAAAGTTGGATCATCAAGAAAAGGCAAAAGTTTTTTTATTCTATGTAGATGAAAGTAAGAGCTTCTAGCAACACTATTAATCTGAGAAGAGAGAGACAGAGTAGAATCAAAGATAAAACCTAGACTACGAAACTTATGAGAGACATCAAGAGTTTTAGAATCAGGTAAGATAATAGGAGAAATAGTAATAGAGTGTTTAGATTTATTAAAACAAATTAATTTAAACTTAGAAGGATTAAGTTTAAGACACATAGAGTCAGACCAAGCGATAATTGAAGAAAGACATAGAGATAAGTTATGAAGAACACTATTGAGATTAGATGGAGGAAAAGAAGTATAGATGTAAGAATCATCAGCATATAGTTGACTAGAGAAAGAAAAGTTATTAATAATACGAGGTAGTTCAGAAGTATAGAGTATAAATAGAAGAGGGCCAAGGATAGAACCCTGAGGTACCCCGAAAGTAAGAATAGAGGAGTTAGAAGTAGAATTATTGAGAACAACAAAAGAAAAACGATTACAGAGATAAGAACAAAACCAAGATAGACAAGAATCAGTAATATTAAAAGAAAGATGCAGCAGTCTCAAGAGAATAGTATGGTCAACAGTATCAAAAGCTGAGGAAAAGTCAAGAGCAAGAAGAAGAGTAAGATTACTATTGTCACTAGAGAGAAGGATATCATTGTGTATTTTGAGTAAAGAAGTTTCAGTACTGTGAGCAGGTCTGAAACCAGAATGAGATACAGGTAGCAAGGAGTTAAAGTTTAAATAGGATGAAAGTTGATTAAAAACTACTTTTTCTATTATTTTAGAGATGATTTGTCCAGGATTTCTCTTGTAATTTCAATATTGTTGTTGTGTTCTAAATGTGTTTTTATTAAACCTTCCATTTTGTGCATAGTCAAAAAATAACACTACGCAAATAGTTAATTAATTCAAATATATAAATAAGCTGTGTGATACGCCAAATACGTTCTAGTTACATTTATATATGTACAAGCGCACATCATTTCATTTATATGAAGCATATGAAGCATGAAATTTGTCATATACAATTATATAGTATTATACACGTGCACATGTTATTTTACACAAAGATCAGCTTATAATTTATGCTTAACCCATGTTAAAGCAAATCTCAAACTTATAGTCAAGTGAATTTCAAAAATTGTTGCAAATGTGGAAAGACAGATAATTTTGTAAGGGAGTGCCCGCAGAAAGCAAGGACATGCAGCACAGTGGATCACGTGAACAAATCAATTGGAAGCAACGATCGTGTCATGTATTTGCCAATCAATTAATGGCAAAAGAAGGTTAGGTTTACTTGATAGTGGCAGTAGTGTATCTATTGTTTCAACGTCAATGGTTGACGTCACAAAGATCAGACCGACGGAAAAGAGGTTGAAAGCTGCCAACAACACAGAAATTCCAGTCAAAGGAGAAATGAAATTGCAAATTAAAGTTGGTGATTATTCCAAATAATTGTTGGTATTGGTGTCTGATCACGTTTCAGAAATTGTTTTAGGTTTAGATTGGCTCAGGAACAATCATATCTCGTGGAAGTTTGGCGAAGGAAAAACCGCCGTAGGTAACAAAAATAAAATGATGAAATTATTTATTAAACATTTTTCATGCAGGAAGCTTTGTCGTATTGAAGCTCACACAGAAGTGCGCGTCCATGCGCGGGCTGAATTTAAACGTGCCAGCAAAGTTGATTGTTGGCCAACCGTCCAAGTTGGAATTGACCGGATTCATGTGTTCGGAAAACAGACAAATAGAATCGGGTTTGTATGTAGCTAGAACGTTACTAAATATGAAGGACAGCGTGTTAGGATCTTAAATGTCAACGATCAACCGAGGATGATGAACCGAGGAACGTTATTGTCAGATTTATCATCGGCTGTGGAAGCAAAGGAATCAATGGATCTTCTAGCACATGAAAATCTAACAGAAGTAACAGGTATGGTTGATGGATTAGTAAAAGATATTCCCAATGAAACAATTGGTGAGAATTGACTTGAATACTTGAAAGTTTCTCAGACAGATTCAGCTGTGCAAGCGGTGTTGCAAAAGGAGTCTTTCATAAGATTGATACTCAGGATGCACGACCGGTAAAACAACAGCTGAAGCGACATTCTCTGGCGCATCAGAAGGTGATTACGGAACAGGTTGATTTTGAAAACACCTCAGAAGACAGTTCCATCGAGAGGAACCAACCGAATCACCAGCACGATGTAGCGATGAGTCAACAGAGTTGGTTGTCCAAACCTTGGCAGGTGAAAATATACCAGAACCTCTACAAGTGCTGCCCGACATCATTTCAGAACTTATGAGGCTTGCTGACAAACTGTTTGATCAACGACCAGATTTATTTGCAGTATGTAACCAGCCATCGATGGACATGTTCGCTGGCAACCGGCAGAGTACAATCAGCAACCGATGGAAGCTCGGTCAAATTTAACAACGACAACAGAAAGAAGAAGAAGAAAACCAACAAGGTGGGGACCGGATCTGGAAAGATAGATGGTGGAAATTACTGAATCTGGTGAAGATCTATAAGAGCAAACGTTGAGACGACGTTTTAGAGGGTGGGAGTTTTGTGAAATTGTGACGATTGCGATGGTAAGGATTGCGTCTTTGAAGTGTAAATAAACATTTTATGTATGTATATACTTGTTATTTGCTAGGCTATATATGCGACGCTTGCTACGTGTTGTTCTGTATGCAGGTGAGTATAGAAAAAGAGTATAAAAGTGCCATATATGTGCTGTTCTGTATATAGGGAGTATAGAAAAGAGTATAGAAGGGAGTAAAGAATTTTCTATGATAAGCGTTATGTAGATAGGGCACGTAAAACGTATAAGACAGCGAGTTGATATACTAGGGTTGTTGGTTTCGCTCTGGTGTTATTTTTAGCTGTTGATTATAGTCGCTTGGATCTCTGATAGTCTGCGTGATAGTTATAGTAGAGAGTATTAATAAATAGTTAATTTTAAAATATCGCGTGTTAATTGTTACTTTGTATATAAAGACAGAAGTTTGATTTTTACTATTTTGTTTTTATTGAATAAAAGAAATATACACTTGAAATTTGGCTCGGCCTAATTATTTTACCTAAAATAACGAATGTTGAAGAAAACTTGCTGATAGTTGACGATGCCGGCGTCTCCAGTTAACAAGTAGGGCGCAAACAAACTTCCGCCTGGCCCGTGTTTTCAGACTCTGAGAGGGTCTATTGTAGAGTTGCGGCTCCCAGCCAGAAAAGACTCCGCCAAAGTATAAAAGCTCGGGTGGATATTCGTATGTCATCCGGCAAAAATTTACACACAAACACACACACACACACATATATATATATATATATTTTGGTAACAGACTGTTGTTAACGCAACATTTAAAAAATTCAACACTACTTTCAACATTTTTCAACTTTTAAATATTTCTTTTTAATTTATTAATGTCAGAGAAATTAGACATTTTATTGTTTTTTAAAAATTTTTATTAAATAAATTTGCAAACAGCTATTTCGAGTTATAGATAACTCATCTTCAGTGCATTATATATAAGGTATGTAAGGTATTTGATAAGAAGGAACAAGTAATTATTAATTTATATAAATTATTTAATTAAAACAGAAAACCAATAAAATAAATTTAATAACATTAAACAATATTAAACGCGATTTTTAAAATTTTAACGGCAAGATTGTTTATATTATGGTTGTTAAGGTATATATCAACGCTCAGCCGAGAAGCGCGAATTAATTTAATTAACCACATATTATTAATATTATTTTTACAATATTTAAAAACGTTATTATTATTATTGTTAACGTTATTATTATTATTATCATCGCTGTGAATCTTCTTGCTTCTTGTGATGATGTTCCATTTGCAATTAATATTTGCGCTGTGGGTTGTGGCGTTGGTATCTACAGTGTTGGCACTGTTGTTGTTGTTGTTATTGTTGATGCTGTTGTTGTTGTTGATGTTGTTGGTGGTGTTGTTGATGTTGTTGTTAGGGTTGTCACTATTGATGATGTTCCAATTGCAACTGATATTTGCGCTGTGGTTTGTGGCGTTGGTATCTACAGTGTTGGCACTGTTGTTGTTGTTGTTATTGTTGATGTTGTTGTTGTTGGTGTTGTTGTTAAGGTTGTCACTATTGGTATGATTGTTGTTTACATCATCAATATTGTTGGTGATAATGATAACATTGTTATAATTATTGCTGTTGTCGTAATTGTTGTTGTTATAATTATAATGATTGTTGTTTTTATTTAGTAGTCTATTTGAAGGTAGAATGTTGTTAGACTGTACTTGAATGTTCATGGAGGGATTTTAGTTTTGTATAAAAATTGATTAAGTTATTTTCAGGTTTGTGATGTTGTTATTGCAATAAACTATTTGCGTGTTATTTAACATTTGTCGTGTTAAAGTGATGTTATGCTGTTGTTGATAATGTTGTTTAATTGCTCCATCTTGTAGATGCATGGTCAAACGTCTTGACAATGTGGTAGTTGTCATTCAATTATATGAAGCATTGTTGCGGTGCGAACATTCACCGACGGAGCATTATATTCATATATTATATGACTTTGTTGTAGTTGAGTAGTTGCAGGAAGGCAATTATTTTTCATGATTAGTTGGGATGTTTTTAAATTTTGATAATAAATTCGAAGAACAACTTTATTAATTGGATGTGACGCTACTACGTTTCTGCATATTATTCCTTTTAAAATTCTTTCATCTTTTTTATACGCCATTGGAAAGGTATTTTTGTAATAAAGTATTATCTTATTTTTGTCATTCATTTTGTTGTTGATTTGGTTTCTAATGATACGGCTGTTGTTGTTGTTGTTATTGTTATTACTGTTTGTGGTGAAGCTTGTGATGCTGTTATTATCAAAGTTATTAGACGTGGTGGAGGGGTTGCCATTATCTTCCTGTTCATTGTTGTTTGGAACGTTGTTGGTAATTGCATTATTTTGATGTATATTTTGTGCATTTTCATGATATTTTTTGGTTAATCTATTTATGACTTGATCAATTTGTTTCAAATTGTTCACGAGAAGTTTTTTTATTCTTAATAATTCTGAGTTGATGAGTGTATAATCAGAGCAATGTTGAAACGCTCTGTTAATTAGAGAAAATATAACACTATTTTTATATTGTTCTGAGGTTTCGCTTTTACCATTAAGACAAAATCCCAAATTGGTGTCTTTTACATAAACTTGCGTTTGAAAACCAATGTCATTTCTGGTTATCAGGACATCCAAAAATGGTAGTTGTTTATTATTTTCAATTTCATGGGTAAAGGAAAGAAATAATATTGTGAAATATTTAAATATTGTAAAAATAATATTAATAATATGTAGTTAATTAAATAAATTAATTCGCGCTTCTCGGCTGAGCGTTGATATTTACCTTAACAACCATAATATAAACAATCTTGCCGTTAAAATTTTATAAATCGCGTTTTATATTGTTTAATGTTATTAAATTTATTTTATTGGTTTTCTGTTTTAATTAAATAATTTATATAAAATAATAATTACTTGTTCCTTCTTATCAAATATCTTGCATACCTTATATATAATGCACTGAAGATGAGTTATCTATAACTCGAAATAGCTTTTTGCAAATTTATTTAATAAAAATTTTTAAAAATCAATTAAATGTCTAATTTCTCTGACATTAATAAATTAAAAGGAAATATAAAAAAGTTGAACAACGTTGAAAGTAGTGTTGAATTTTTGAAATATATATATATATATATATATATATTTTCCAGAATTTTATTCGAAAAGAAACAGGAGATCATATATACGAAAGTATGTTCTGACCACCTTAACTAGTTGTGCAACAATATGAGATACAAATATAAACATTTTTAGTATATCGATAAATATAAATACACCCAATAATTCCATTTTTATAACTTAAAGTAAGTAATATTCAATCAGATGTAAAACAATTAAATAAAACACGACAAAATTAAACAAAGAAAGCATCATACCTACATTGATCTGCATAAGTTTTCTATATATTTTTTAAATTCATTATATCCGGAAAATTTTTTCTTACCTAGTTCCAAGGAATTTCAAAGACGAATTCCTCTTACCGCCTAGTATCTAGCATTTAAATCAGTTCTGCAAGTCATTGGTATCAACAAACCTTTTTGCCTAGTGTTTGTTGACACCGTTTCAAATGAGCCTAACATGTTGAACTCAGCATCATATAACACTCTATAAACGAAACACAAGGTTAGATACCTATTAAGCTGTTCAATACTGAGGATACTATTATCGGAATATATTGCCAGTGTATGATCAAGGTGTTTCAGAAAAAAACAAACCCTAAGGTATCTTTTTTGTACTATTGTCAATGATTTTATTAAATAATCACAAGAAGCTCCCCAAAAAACATTTCCATATAGGAGATATGAATAGATTAGGAAGTAATATAGAATTAACATGATTTTAGTACCTAATTTATTGCGTGATCTATAAATAATGCCAGTAATTTTATATAATTTGCTTACCAACGAATTTATATGCTCATTCCATTTCAAGTCAGACTGGATAATAATTCCCAGAAATTTAGCTGACGAGTTTCTGGATATCACTGAGTCACCTATGTGAATGGTTAGGCCAGAGAAGATATCATTGTTCGTTTTGATTTTAGGGCTAAAGACTAAATAGCAGGATTTTTTTGAATTCAGAACCAATCTTTTTCTAGTGAACCAGTTGGAAAATTTAACCAGTTGGTTATTCATTTCAGAAAATAGTGTTATCGGGTCTTCGTCAGACAAGAATATAGTCGTGTCATCAGCAAATAAAATAGTGCTACACACATTTGATATTAAAAAAATATCATTTATAAACAGAATAAACAAAAGCGGTCCCAAGATTGAACCCTGGGGAACTCCAAAAACTATTTCCTTGGGCAACGATTCAACACCTTCAATACAGACATATCGACACCGATTGTATAGGTAAGACTTGAACCAGCTCAGTACTATACCTCGAAAACCATACTTAGACAGTTTACAAAATAAAATATTGTGGTCAATTAAATCAAATACCTTGCTTCAGTCCCATACAGCATAGCAATAGCCTTCTCAGTTGATGACTTGGGAAAATTGATTTCCATTAATCATGCTGTGTTTAGATATGTAAGACCACATTCTATCAAACATTAGTTTTTCAAAAAATTTTGAAAATACTGATAGAATCGATATGGGTCTGTAGTTGCCATATTGCCTTTCAACATATATATATATATATATATATATATATATATATATATATATATATATATATATATATATATATATATGTTGAAAGGAGACCATATTTTATACAGTATTGTATGAATTCTACCGAATTGTTGGCATAAATCAATTTAAAGTTTGTTTATTCAATTTTCCTAACAAGAATTTTCTAAAAATTATTCAATT